CGAAACTCCGTCTCAAAAAAAAAAAAAAAAAAAACTCAGAATGGAAAACATCTATTTTGCGGTATTACTCGAAATGTTAAAATGTCTCTAACTTTTGAATTTTCTTCTTTTTTGAGATGGAGTCTTGTTCTGTCACCCACACTGAAGTGCAGTGGCATGGTTTCGGTTCATTGCAACCTCTGCCTGCCAGGTTGAGGCAGTAATTCTCCTGCCTCAACATCCTGAGTAGCTGAGATTACAGGTGCATGCCACCATACCCAGCTAGCTTTTGTATTTTTAGTGGAGACAAGGTTTCACCATGTTGGTCAGGCTGGTCTCAAACTCCTGACCTCAGGTGAGCAACCCTCCTCAGCCTCCCAAAGTGCTGGGATTACAGGCGTCAGTCACTGCACCCGGCGTACCACAAATAATGTTCTATTCACCCCTTTCCTCTACTAAAAATACGGCCTTTTTTTCCAGTTTTTTAGCTTTCAGCATAGATAAGCAACATGTATGCCAATATAGTCACCGTTCCTACTATAAGTTTAACATTTACTTAAATAAACTTTTTCCTAACTGTTTGATAAAAAGTACACAATGGGCGGGGCACAGTGGCTCATGCTTATAATCCCAGCACTTTGGAAGGCCAAAGTGGGCGGTTCAGTTGAGGCCAGGAGTTCAAGACAAGCCTGGCCAACATGGTGAAACCTATCTCTACTAAAAATGCAAAAATTAGTGGGTTTGGAGGTGCATGACTGCAGTCCCAGCTACTCAGGGGGCTGAGGCACAAGAAATGCTTGAGCCCAGGAGTCAGAAGTTGCACTGAACCAAGACTGCACCATCACACTCCAGCCTGGATGGCAGAGCAAGACTCTGCCTCAAAGGGAAAAAAAAAAAAAAAAAAAGTGCATAATGTTAACAACACTATACTGATTTTTCAAGAGGAAAAATCCATTTGTGGATGTTAATAGCATCTTAAAAGCCCAGAGAAATTCTACGCATTTAACATTAATCTGTGGGTTTAGGCAACACAAACTTAATATCAAGAGGATTCCTTTTTGAAGAAAACGTCTACAGACAACAAACTGCAAAACTCTCAGAAACTGCTGGATATTTTTAAAAATGAGCCCAAACAATATTTAAGGCAATATCCAGTATTACAAATACAATGTTTAAGCTTCCAATTTACAAATGGAAAAGGTAGTGCTGTTTAGTTCAATTACTAAACACACTAAGGATTACCATTATGGGTAAGGCTTTAAAAGCTCTATATGTACAATTAGCTGGCACTGGCACATCATATATTCAATCAGAAAATGATTGATCACGAATTTGAAATATCACTAGAGAGATCCTGAATATGAATAAGGTGATCCCAAAACAATACCAGGGCATAAGAAGATCTAGAGGCAGTTGGTTTATTATCTTCAATTTATGTAATCTAATACTTATATCTGTTTCAAAGGCTCTTGGTCACCAACTTTGAGAATACAGAAAACCACAGATCATGCCACCTTAAAATGCGAACAACTTTTAATTAAGCAACATTTCACTGAAATAATGGATCTCATTAAATATGTAAGTTTGCTGAAAACTGTTAAATGACATTTAGTCACATAAAAACACTACTGAACTACCACAAACCTTTGTAGAGCTGCTTTCAGTTATCTTAGCAAGTTGCCAAAGGATTACATAGTGAGTACACTGCAGTGCGTGAATAACAATCTGTAAAAAGAATCAAATGGATATAGTTAAAATTTAAAAGTCACAAGACTTCACTTTTCAAAGTTAAACGTATAAATAATAAATAAATAAAAACCTGCTCAGGCATGTCTCCATTTTCAATTCCAGTTTTCAAGAGTTTGTAATTACAAGCAAATAAATCCCACTTTGAAAGGTCATGGGCACTATAAAAGGAAAAAAAAAACCATTAAGTTTTATTAAACAGCTAAGCCTAACGACAACTGTTTTGGACTTGAGTATTAACGGAATGCAGTAAATACAGTAAACTTAAAAATGCCCCTACAACAACAACAACAAATTAGCTTTGAAATTAACATTATAACCCATAATACATGCAAGTTCATTTCTACAGTTTTAAGAAAACAAAAACTTCAAAAGTCAACTTACTTATGAAAAGCAGTAATCCTCTTCAATGTTGACAATACCTGATATGCATCATCTTCATCAGGTTCTTCACCCTATGAATATTAATTACACATTAAGAACCATTAAAGTGAAAAATTCTAGGCTATCAAAATGTTACTATTACCTTGAAAAATAAAAACTAACACAACAAAACCCACAAATGACCTTGTCATTCAATACCCAGATCTGGCGAAATTTAAGGCAATATAACTGGGGTAATGAGTTAACACAAGTTTGTTACCACAGGAACAATATAACCAAGAGAAAAAATGAAAATGATATTCTTCTTTTTCTTTTAAGTAAACTTGACACAAAACTATAAAGGCACCTATTTTTTCACAGAAATAAATGCCCTAGGACAATAAAATACTTAAATGACAAGATCAGAAAGACAATACCTAAAGGACAAAACCTAAGTACCTTAAACATATATCATCATAAAGATATATGACACTAATAACAAATAAATAGGGAAAAACCTCTGAATAATGACTATATATGCTGGTCCTACTTGGTTAGCAACATTTGTTAATATACTTTTCAACTTAGGATAACTTAAGTTTTGAAAACTTTTACCAGTCTTACTCCAGGAAACTAAATTGCTTACACACTATTGACTCTACTGTGTTGAACTCTAGTTCTCTCAAAAAAGCACTTGTTTTTAAACTGTAATTCTTCTACAAAGTAATTAAATTTAATTAACCATTGCTTGATTTTAAATTATTTTGTCCTAATCACAATCATATTCAGCCATGAGTAGAGCCATTAAAATTTTTAACTGAGAATGTAATAATCGTACATCAACATATTTGCACAAACCTCCAATTAGTAAAACTTAATAAGGCAGGAATAATGATATACACTAAATAAAAGTTAAATGAGTAATTAATAAAACAAGAAAACTAGAAATTACAAAGTCTATATGATTTTACAGCATTAACAATAAAACTGATGTTTAAAAGGTTAATGGCATTAATCTGACAATTATGAATTTTTATTTTATTCAAAAAAATTTAATGTAAATATATATTTCTGGAAAAAATAACAATCACAATAAAAATACAAGTGCATTTAAGTGCTATGCACTAAGCCTCTTTGGAAATACAAGAGAACACAGGACACTCCAAAAGTAGCAGTGGCTATAACAGTAATTTATTAAAGTTTTATAATATCAAAAACCAGGCCAGGCACAGTGGCTCACCCCTGTAATCCAGCACTGTGGGAGCCCAAGGCACGTGGATCACCTGGGGTCAGGAATTCAAGACCAGTCTAGCCAACATGGCAAAACCCTGTCTACTAAAAACACAATAATTAGCCCATTACAGTGGCGCATGCCTATAGTCCCAGCTACCTGGGAGACTGAGGCAGGAGAATAGTGTGAACCTGAGAGGCAGGGGCTACAGTGAGCTGAGATGGCACCATTGCATTCCAGGCTGGGCAACAGAGCAAGACTCCGCCTCGAACAAACAAACAAACAAAATACGTAATGTCCTTCCCTAACCTACACTGCCAAAACACTGAGAAATACTCTACTTTTTCAGGCTACCTACTCTAAATCTAGCTCTCCTTTTCTGTTCCAGTAACACCCTATTTCTTAACAGCCCTGGTTCAATGAACACCAGGTAACTAACTGTCCAGATCATTTCTCAAAACAAAAAAGATGTTAATTTCGCTTTCCCCTTATCTAAGTCACAGATTCTTACCACTTTCCTATTTTGGTGGAGGAGTAGCCCAATGAGTCACAGAATGAAAAGCCTGAACATTGTTTCAAAACACTGCTAAAGACTATCACTAGGACTAACACTTGGGCGACTAAGTAGCTTACTGAAATAGAGGATCTCAACTGACAAAATACTTGTAATACTTATAATATATACCTCTTGCAGAAAATCTTCAAGAAGCCGGTTAAATTTATCCGCCAATTCATCTATCAGTTGACTTCTTGAAATATCTACTCTGTTGAAGATTGTGAACTCTTCATTACAGAGTGCATGGTAAGTTTTAGAACATGCTTCCAAAACATCTGTATCTGTGTGCTTCTCTACAATATTCCGGATCTGTCGCAATAAGGCATCCAAATGCTGCAAAATAATAACATTTTTTCATTAAAACTAAGGTATATACAATAGGTATAAAGTGACTACATCACCGTATCACCAGGGAGAAAATTTTCAAATACAGTAACTCTGTAACACGGGGCATACATTTTAAGGCACTTTTCTAATCATAAATAAATATACTGATCCAGCCATACTTATTCCTCAACTTTAAGGGAAGTAATATTATCTACCTCACAGGGCTGTGATGAGAATGTTTATATAAAGAGCTTACAATAATTCATAGAACATAGCAAAAGTCTTCAATAAATATTAGCTGATCCTGTCTTATAATTGTTATTATCATCTATGGCCATACCACCCTGAATGCACCCAATCTCATCTAATTGTTATTATCTAGTTATCCACCCCCAGTCTCCATAAGTGGTCAGTGATATAGTAACATAATAGCTAAGAATGAAGGTACAGTTGTGGGTATGAAGCAAAGGGAAGCGTCATTACCACCATTCTTTAAGTCAAACTAATCTAAAATACGGAAGACCTAAGCTATAGGTTTCCTTTCTTAAAATATGTTCCAAAAACAAATTTTAAGAAATACAAACTCTATGATGAAATGAGCTAAACAATTTTTAAGGTTTTTTTCTTTTTTTACACAAAATAATCTTACCTTTTCTAATCGTCCAGTGGTATATATTTCCAAATCAAAGTACTGAGGCAACTGCAACAAGTTAGTCACCTTTTCTGCATCTACAGAGTACTGTGAAATAGAAAGATCATGTTGAAAAGATCACAATAAGCATTATAATATTCTGTGAGTCACTTAGAAAAAAACTGTGATTTCTTTAGTAACACTATGATATTGACACAAACTTACTTTTGCTAATAACTGAGGAAGGGCCACAGCAAAAAGCTCAGTGATCTTCGTCCTGTCATCCAACTGAGTCTTCTTCTCCTTTGCTGTAAGCACCTAAAGTAGCACAAAGGCTTTTATATTTATTAAGCCCACTAACTGTTAAATGTTCAAGTTTTAGTTAAAACATACGAAATGATTACTAAAACTTTAAAAGATGGACACAAAAATTTCACTATAAAACATTATCCCTAAAAGTAACACAAAAGAGAGTAACTACATATGATAAAAACACAAAGCCATCTGAAATAACAAAAAAATTTGGATAGTCCTAGAGGGAAAATCAATATCCAATAAGACTAACCAATTCTATGTTTGGATGATAGAAGAATCAGTTAAAAATAGAAAATATAGCTTAGGAGCTTATATATAAAATACTGGAATTGAGGCCAGGCATGGTGGCTCACGCCTGTAATCCCAGCACTTTGGGAGGCCGAGGCGGGTGGATCACGAGGTCAAGAGTTCAAGACCAGCCTGACCAACATGGTGAAAACCCGTCTTAAAAAAAAGTAAAATAAAAAAAAATATATATATATATATATATATATATATATATATATATATATATTGGAATTGATCAGCATTTCTGCTTACTCTAGACTGTGGTACATGACACGTAAGTTACAAATTCAAAACACTAAATTGCTATCAGCAATTAACAAGAAACAGAAATTTTTTAAAAACAGAAACAGAAAATATAGAAAGTATCACATTCAGTGTCTTCGATAAAATTTTGTTTCAGTTATATACAAACACAAATATATTCACATGTAATAGATCACAATATAAAAATGTATTTTTGTGCGTTAGTCAAAAGTTTGAAAAAGCCTGTTGATATAAAATGCAAATTCATGTAAACTTTATAATAATGCATTAAAATTTCCCTATTTTAATAAAAAATTAGCTCCACTTTTATTTCTAACTTTATTTTAGAAGAAAATGATAGCAAATCTATAAATAAAACATATAACTGCACCATTCCAAATTGTGCACACTACATTCAGTCATGAAGGCAAGGACTGTTAATCGTATCTCTTGCAGTAACTAAAGAAGTATCTGTAAAGAACTCAAATTTCTCAAATAGCTAATGCTTTAAAATTTACTTCTAACACATTTATAAGCAAAGGTCTTCTGAAAAACAAAATTTTAGAATGTTGTTTCATGGTTAAAATGAAATATTTAAAAAGATACTGAAAAAGGAGAAATAGAGTTTAGAATATTGAAAATACATTGATTGGCATACCCTTTTTCCTGTCCCTCTTCCCACGGGAGGATGACATTCAGCTGCTTGTCTAATAGTACAAAGCATTATTTCAATCAGAGCACTCTCTTGCCTATCTGTTAGTGCTAAAAAAAAAAAAAAAAAAAAAAGTCAGAAAGAAACAGCCTATTTCTTCTCTCTATATGGCACTTGTAATTATTACATAACAGTTTCTTCTGCCTGTAAACAGAATCTGACCTAAGGTACTAAAGAAAATCCCATTACTACATCACAGAAAAGATAACCTTCCTAAATCCCTCAGCATTCCAAATCTATCCACCACAGATCCATACATTTGGGTAAAGAAAGTAAGAACTCAGATACAAAAAAATAAAGCATGTTGACAGCAATTACATCTTCTTACATAGCATAATATTTATGTATATGAAAACAAAACTATGCACAAAGTCAGATTTTCTATCCAATTATCTTAAAATTAAAAGGATAAACAAATGAAATCAGTAAAAAACTACTTACAAAACTGTCTAAACAAAAATATCTTAATTAAACATCCTTACCTTCCTCTCCACTAAGTGGCTCTTCCAACAACAAGCTATTCATACATTCCCAGTCTTTGAGCAGCTCAGTTGCACAGTCCCACATGCTATCCACAAGGTATGCTGCGTGCTCATGTAACTAAAATTTGAAAAGAGCAATATGGTCTTAGACAAAGAGCATACTAGCCTTAACTCAAAAGAATGGAAGCTTTATTGGCACCACATACAAACTCTAAAACAGCTATCTATTTTTTGATGTCAAACAGATGAAAGGACGGAGAAGAAACCGCCTTAGTTTGCTCGCTCTAAGAAAGACTTGTTAGGTAGCATCATTAAACATTTTTAATAATAATTAAAACATTAAGGCGGAGTCTTGCTCTGTCACCCAGGCTGTTATGAAATGGGTGCAATCTCGGTTCACTGTAACCTCTGCCTTCCAGATTCAAGTGATTCTCCTGCCTTGGCCTCCCAAGTAGCTGGGACTACAGGCATGCACTACCATGCCCAGCTAATTTATGTATTTTTAGTAGAAATGAGGTTTCACCATGTTGGCCAGGCTGGTCTCAAACTCCTGACCTCAGGTGATCCACCCACCTCAGTCTCCCAAAGTGCTGTGATTATAGGCATGAGCCACTGCACCAGTTCTGGAAAGTACGTTATAAAGAGATTATATGCATACTTACTGCTTATTTGGACCTAATATTACATCAGTTAACTACTCTCAATTCTCAGGTATGCTAAGAATTTATTTTAACTGAATGGAAGTGATAATGGTTAATTAAAATACAAAATGCATGTCTGTCAATTCAATATATAAATAAGCAGAACATTCTCTTCATTACGTGAAGTTTAAAAGATCCTACTGTTGGCTGGGTGTGGTGACTCACACCCTGTAATTCCAGCACTTTGGGAGGCCGAGGCAGGCAGACCACCTGAGGTTAGGAGTTCGAGACCAGCCTGGCCAACATGGTGAAACCACTTCTTTACTAAAAATACAAAAATTAGCCAGGCTTGGTGGCACGCGCCTGTAATCTCAGCTACTCTGGAGGCTAAGGCAGGAAAATCTCTTGAACTTGGAAGGCACAGTTGGCAGTGAGCTGAGATCACACCACTGCACTCCAGCCTGGGCAAGAGAGTGAGACTTCATCTCAGGGAGCGGGGAACACCCTACTGTTTCCCCGACTCATTTGGCGGGATGAGGGGTATCATAATCATGATACAAAAATCTGTCAAAGAAATTACAAGTAATAAAAAATATAAACCTAAATCCTTTATGAACATAGAGGGAATATCCTCAAAAATTGGCAAACTAGGCCAGGTGCCATGACTCATACCTGTGATCCCAGCACTTTGGGAGGCCAAGGAGGGAGGATTACTTGGGGCCAAGAGTTGAAGACCAGCCTGGGACACAGAAAGACCCCCCAACTGTCTACAAAACTCTAATAAAATAAACTAGCTGGGTGTGATGGCACACAGTCGTAGTTGGAGCTACTAGGGAGGCTGAGGCAAGAGGATCAATTGAGCCCAGAAGTTCAAGGCTGCAATGAAATATGATTACACCATTGCACTTCACGCTGATTGACAGAGCAAAACTGTCTCTTAAAAAAATAATCAGTCGGTTTCCGCGCTTGACCCCTCCCAGGACTCGTGATGCCTAGGCCGCTGCGAGTGGCTACCAAGAGTCGGGGTTGAGCCCCAGCTGAGCTGAGGGCTCGCACTCTTCTGGTCTCCCAGGCCCGCCCCACCTAAAGAAATGAGTGGTGGATTGGCTCCAAGTAAGAGCACAGTGTATGTATCCAACTTGCCTTTTTCCCTGACAAACAATGACTTGTACCGGATATTTTCCAAATATGGCAAAGTTGTAAAGGTTACCATAATGAAAGATAAAGATACCAGGAGGAGTAAAGGGGTTGCATTTATTTTATTTTTGGATAAAGACTCTGCACAAAACTGTACCAGGGCAATAAACAACAAACAGTTATTTGGTAGAGTGATAAAAGCAAGCATTGCTATTGACAATGGAAGAGCAGCTGAGTTCATCCGAAGGCGAAACTACTTTGATAAATCTAAGTGTTATGAATGTGGGGAAAGTGGACACTTAAGTTATGCCTGTCCGAAAAATATGCCTGGAGAACGTGAACCGCCAAAGAAGAAAGAAAAAAAGAAAAAAAAGAAAGCTCCTGAGCCAGAAGAAGAAATTGAGGAAGTAGAAGAAAGTGAAGATGAAGGGGAGGATCCTGCTCTTGACAGCCTCAGTCAGGCCATAGCATTCCAGCAAGCCAAAATTGAAGAATAACAAAAAAAATGGAAACCCAGTGCAGGAGGCCCCTCAACATTAGATGATTCAAGATGCCCAAGGATAAAGAAAAGCACCTATTTCAGTGATGAGGAAGAACTTAGTGATTAAAATCTTACCCTAGCACAGTAATAAAAATCAAGATTTGTTAGTAATAATCCTGAAGAGCTAATTTTAATAAAAATAAGAAAAGTTAATACTATCATGTTAATACTATTATCATCTTAAGAAAAAAGATATTTTAAAAATTTATTTGAAAAGTTCATCATAAGGGCTTTATTCATATCTGATCTGTTTACATGAGGACTTCTGAAATTCAATCCTTAAAAACTTCCTGAAGACCGAAAAGTTGAATGATTTATTGTTACTTATGTTAATAAACTTTCCAAGAGAATTTTGTCCTTAAAAAAAAAAAAAAAATCAGTCAATCAAATCAAATAAAAAATTTGCAAACTGAATCCAGCAATATATAAAAAGAATAACATCATGAACAAGCAGGTTGATTCAACATTTAAGAAGTCATTCAACATAACTCAACGCATTAACATAATAAAGGATAAAAATAAAACAATCATCTCAAGGAATGCAGAAGCTTTTTACAGAATTCAATTTCCATTCATGTTAGAAATTTTCAGCAAAGAAAGGATAAAAGGAAACATCCTCAATCTGATTATAAATATCTATAAAACACCTATAGCTAACAATGTAATTAATGTCGAAATATTGGACACTCTTCCCATAAGATCAGGAGCAATCCAAAAATGTCTACTCTCACCACTTTAGTCAATTTTTTTTTTTTTTTTTTTTTTTTTTTAAGACAGAATCTTGCTCCTCACCCAGGCTGGAGTGCAGTAGCATGACCCTGACTCACTGCAACTTCTGCCTTCTGGGGTCAAGGGATTCTTGTGCCTCAGCCCCCTAAGTAGCTGAGATTACAGGCATGCACCACCAAGCCTGGCTAATTTTTGTATTTTTTGTAGAGATGAGGTTTTTCCCATGTTGGCCAGGCTGTTCTCAAACTCCTGGCCTCACGTGATCCACCCACCTTAGCCTCCAAAAGCAGTGGGATTACAGGCGTAAGCCACCGCAACTGGCCCTACTCAACGGTCTACTGAAAGTCTTAGCCAATTCAATAAGGCAAGAAAAAAAATGGAAAAAATGTTGGAAAGGAAAAGGAAAATTAACTTTATTTGCAAATGAACTGACTGCATAATGTAGAAAATCCTGAAGAATAAAGAATCAATTATATGCCCAAATACAGAAATAACTAGAAAATTAAAAGGCCCGATCACTAATTAAATAATATATAATACGAATACCAAAAATAAATTTTGAGTCCTCTCAATATCTGGCTAACAGATAGGTTTCCAACTTTAGGGAGACTAGTTTAAGTCCACATCTACAATTTAAATGGCAGGTACTACATTTGAGATCTTACAATGTTCTAGGTCTATGTTAAGTTTTATGCAGATTACAGATTGTTTCAGATTACCCATCTTTTGACTAGCAAACTGATGCTTAGAAAGAGTAAGTAGCTAAACCTAAGGTCACACAAATAGTAAGCAGAGTAGCTCAACTGCCAATCAGGATTTTGAACTCTAAAATTAATATTCTCAGCATTATACATAAATCCTACTGTTTGAACATCTTACTAAAATTAGAAAGCATATTTCAAAAATTTGTGGAGTGGGTAGAGCTCCATTTTAGTCACAATGTACTGTGCTACACACAATATTTCTTTTTAATGTACCTCATTTTAACCCCTTTTCCAAAATTTTTTGAACCTAAGTATAAAATAAATACTATCAACTAACCTCACTTTCTAGAAAGAAAAAAACCAATGTCTTAACAAGGTTGGCATTTGGACCTTGTCTTCCTCTTCTTTTCATCATTCCATCCTCCTCTGGATCTCTACGACTGAAGAGCCTGTGAAAAAAGTAAAATATTTTTTTTACAACAACAGGTATTTCCTAATCAAAAAAAATTAACTGTGTGGATTTCATATTTAAGGATCTAACAAAGGAGTAAAGGAGGACTGGATAGGTACAATATCATCCAACATTTTGGCATACCACAGAAGTAACTGCTATAAACCCATTCCATTTCATGTTTGATGGTAATTCTAAGTCCTTTTAAACTAACTTCTCAAGTTAATTGTACTGAGTTATAAATTATTTCTTTTTAAAAATCTTATTGTATTTTATATAACTGTCAACTTTCATAAAAGTAGTACAATGACAAAGCTACACCATTTATGCTAAAAAAAATCTATGATACATATTCATCTTGAAAATTAAACACATACTTTCCTTCTTTTCTTCTTGCAAAATTATCCCAACTTACTGTCCTTTTACTATGGATAGCATGGCCATTTTCCCCATAAACAACAAGAGAATTAATACTAAACAGCAATGAATAGAAAACTGCAGTGTAAATGTTTTATACCACCTACTCTTTCTAGTAATTGCTGTACCCCAAACAGGCATTTTAATAAAATCAAAGGAACAAGAAAAGTTTAATCTATGTAGCTCAAAATGGTCTCTTTGAAATCCATTGTATAACAATCTTTGAGTGTTTTCTGTGATCAGATATTCACACTTCTACTCATACTTCCTAATCTGAATGTTAAATAGGATCATAAAAGTAAAGAGATTGTAGAATTCTTGGGATTCTTATGTCAAACTATATTAAGTACTTGAAGAGCCTTTTAATATTTTCTAAAGCAAAGGAAAAATAAGTTTAAGACTAAATACAGCCTGTAGTCCCAGCTGGTCGGGAGGCTGAGGCACAAGCAACACTTGAACCTGGGAGGCACAGGTTGGGTACAGTGACCTGAGATCACACCACTGCACACTCCTGCCTGGGCAACAGAGAGGG